CGTTTTTGCAAAATTAATTTTCACAAACCACCTTCAACTTTTTTTTTCGTTTCATTTACGTATACAAAGCTTGGGGTATTTTTTTCTACACACAAAAATTTTCTTTCTTGTTTGCTTTTCTTTTATATTTTTTCCAATTTTTTTGCACTTACATTTGTTTTAAACTGTTGTAGTTGTTGGCGTTTCTTATATTTATTTTTGTAATTTATCGATTTGTTTTTCTTTTGTGTTGTTTTTTTAGTTAAATAAAAAATAACTATTTCTGTTTCTTAAATTTCCGTGTGCCATGAATTTTACTTCGCCATTGTGAAAAAATTGTATGGAATTTCGAAATTCGAATTCTCATTTGACATATTTCGCGTTCATCAGTGGCGCAGTGTTGCTGTTGTGTGTAGTAAATCCACGTTGCTACAACATGCCAGATGTTTTTCGTACTAGACCATAGGGTTGTATTTTTGATGGCGTTTGAAATGTGTAGTTTTTTTATCCATGCGATTTATTGTACAAGAAGAATTTTGAAGGAAATTATTATGATTTTCGAAATGAATTTATAATTCAACAAGTTCGTAAATACGATTTTTCTCCTTTTAATCCTCTTTTGAAGCATAGGGTTTAAACAAAGGATCTTTCAATATAAAATAACAAAGTCCTGGGGTACTTACCGTACTTCGTAGACGCATACGACATGAAATATAGACTTCTATAAGATTACTATAAATAAGTTAATGTTTTACAACGTTACCTATAATCCAAAACGTTGTGTACGGCCGTATTACCCAAATATGTCGGATCCATATCTTCAAGCGAATAATACAAACCGCCAAACAAAATTGAAAATTGTTTAAATTAATCCAAATATTTTATGTTCACGTTCGAAATTTCATTTTTCTGAATGTTTTGTTTTTATTTCAAAAAAAAAGAAAAAAAACAAAAACAAAATACGTTCTGTCAAGGTTGAAATTGTTCAACTTAAAATTTTGTACGCTCGACGTATTTCGGTAACATTCATATAAATACATGTGTTCTACTTCTGTGGTGAAAAACGTCGACCGAGCTAGATGAATTTTAGGTAGGGCTGTTAAGGTTATCTTTTGTCAATTTAGGGAAAATACAACTCTACCTTGTGGACTATAATGTCAGAATAAATAAAAACAAATGCAACAATTTTTTCTGTTCATTTTCCATATTTTTAACATTTTACCGAAAACGCGAAAAATGAATGGAATGTCAGGGTTTATTTTCATAATCGAGTTGGGAATATGACTTAGATATTCCCCATTTAAGGGCATTTTTTTTGGTATTTTTGCGGGTCCAGTTCGATTTTCCATCCTGGAATATTTGTAATTTAGTTTTCTCAGATAAAAAGACCCCAAGATAGAGGTCGCTACCGATATAAGATATATTAAATATATACCATGCTTGAGCAATACAATGTTTAGACTGGTTACTTGATTTCTTTACCAAGCGAACAACGGACACATAGATGACGACTAGACATAGTTACATCCAAGTATTCCTTCCTCTTATGTAAACTTTTACATTTAAAAATTAAACATTTTCGTCTTCTATGAAAGTAGAGAATTTGACCTAGTGGTTGTTCTGTCATAGAAAATTCTCCAAAAAATCCATGTATGTATATGGGACTATGGATGGTTGAATATTTTTTCGTTTTGAATTCTTTTGCAGTAAAGATTTACACATCCCCCATATAACAGTATCGTGTGCAAATAGCTTGAAGACTTTATTAGGATTTCCTTCAGCATTCCTATAAAGACTCCCTTCAAATCGTCTATAAATACTCCTTTCAGATCGTCTATAAAGACTCCTTTCAGATCGTCTATAAAAGACACGTCTATGAAAGACTCCCTTCAGCTCGTCTATGAAAGACTCCCTTCAGCTCGTCTATGAAAGACTCCCTTCAGCTCGTCTATGAAAGACTCCCTTCAGATCCCTTCAGCTCGTCTTTAAAAGACTCCCTTCATCTCGTCTTTGAAAGACTCCCTTCAGCTCGTCTATGAAAGACTCACTTCAGCTCGACTACGAAAGACTCCCTTCAGCTCGTCCATGAAAGACTCCCTTCAGCTCGTCTATGAAAGACTCCCTTCAGCTCGTCTATGAAAGACTCCCTTCAGCTCGTCTATGAAAGACTCCCTTCAGCTCGTCTATGAAAGACTCCCTTCAGCTCGTCTATGAAAGACTCCCTTCAGCTCGTCTATGAAAGACTCCCTTCAGCTCGTCTATGAAAGACTCCCTTCAGCTCGTCTATGAAAGACTCCCTTCAGACCGTCTTATAGACGAACTGAAGTGCGTCTTTATAGACGAGCCTTTGAATTCGTTTTCATCACCAATAACGCTTATGGTCGGATTGAAAACGGTTGAATTTGGATTCGTCGGAAACCCGATTACACGTTTCCAGTCGACCACTGTTCAATTTTTGGCTCGTTGAAAATTGTTTACCCTGATTTTGCAGTTTTTTTTCGATAATAGAGATTTTTGGTTTTTTATTGCTGTCGGGAGGGGCACTTCACCCCGTTCACCGATTAACAGGTTTGACGAGTACAAACGAAGGATATTTTGGTATTAAAACTTATCAGTTCACTTTTCCGTGGGTCCACACAACTTAGAAGCGATGTACAAACTCAAATTTGAGGGAACAATGTAACATCGTTTTTGTACCCATATAACCACTAATTGGGACATTTTAAGTCTCACTCAAGACCCGCATGGCCTCTTCAGTGGTTATTGAACGTTTTTTCATGATTTATTACTTTTAGTTAATTATTTGATTTTTGTTCAAAATGTCCACAATGTTTTTAATAAACGGGATTTAATTAATGTATTATAAAAAAGAACTAATAAAAACCAAAAAAGAATAAAAAAAGTGTTTTTGCATTCCTTTTCTTAAATTATTCATAAAATGCAGACGTGCAAAAGTGAGTACATTGGAGTCAATTTTGTTTTTCTTATTTTTTTCCTAGAAATTTAAGAGTTAAATATTTAAATTTAGGTAGTTTTTTTAAGTATAGAATACCTAATATAATACAATCAACATTTTTGAATTATTTTTTTTTATTTTTATGACGTAAAAGCGTCCAAAGTACAAACATGTACTCGCTCCTGCTTGCTACAGTACAATTAAGTTCCAAATTAATGTAATTAAAAAATTGAATGGAATGCAAAAATTTGACCTTTCTATTGCCCGTTCTAATTTATAGCATATTTATTTGTTCCTTTTATGAGAATAATGAAAATGCAAAAGATAAATGGAGTAGTACTAAAACAATTATTTTAATTATTATTCAATATCATTTGTATCTAAAAAGATTTCACAGATTTCACATTACATTCAAACAGATTATTTTTTTATTTTATTTTAAATGATAAATTAATATTTATTTGAACATTATAAACTTCAATCTTCGTAATAATAAATGATGTTTATAAATGGGGTAATTAATACATAATGTAAACCGATAAACTGGCGGCTTTTCATTTCTCCCTTCCTTCCTTGGTAGCTTCAGCTCATGGTACGAAAAATATAATTATTAAATACTCGACAATGCAAGAGTTTAGGCTGCAGCAATGGCTGCGATAGCTTCCGAAGTGAAATATTTGACGTCAACATCAGTATCAGAATTTAATTTCTCCAATGTCGGCTTGACTTGCGAATCGATAGCGCTGCTATCAAGGAAAGGTGAAATTTTCTGTAGGGTCTTTGCGACATTGAAACGAACGTTGGAGACTGGATCAGAGGCCAAGAGGAGAACAGTTGGCAGCAAGAGTTTGGTGGTAATGTCTGTGCCACAGACTTCAGCCAACATATTAATGCAGAATAAACAAGTCATTCTCTGCAAATAGTTCTTGTTGCGTGACATGGCCAAAATCATGGGAATTATAGCTTGTTCAGCCCATTGAGCACCGAATTGTTCGACCAACTTTTTCATGTTAATGGTAGCCGCTTCCCTTATGGCGTAGACATGATCGTTCAACCAGCCCATGCAAAGTCCACGTAGCTTCTGGTCAAAGAATTCCTGTCCCAATTGGCCGGCCAGAGCAGGCATATATTCAATAATTGCCAAACGTACACGCCATTTGGAGTCTTCGGCTAGTTCCACAATGGCTGGCAACAATGATTGCGATAGTTGTTGAATTCCAATGACATCATTGACACAATCCAAGTTGGAAATAATATTCAAACGCACTTCAGGGCATTCATCTTTGAGCTGGATGAGGAATAATGGCAAAAGATGCTCAACAGTGTTGTAAGATCCAAGCATTGGACTCAAACCCATGATAACGGAAGCCAAAGCCGATTTGACATGAGGATTGGGGTCGGACACTAAATCGCGAACATAGGGCAAAATCGAGGTCATAATGATTTGCACCTGATTGGCCTTGTCAAGATTAGCGCAGAAATCTTTGACTTTTGTTGCAACAGCAGCACGTACTTCGGCCTCGGCATCCTTCAACAAATATTGGAATGCAGGCACCAAATCAACTCTAGTTATTTCCGGTCCTACGGCCTTTTGTAAGTCAACAAATTTCTCGGCCACCATGTAACGCACACGCCAAGAAGAATCGCTGGCACATTGGCGCAGTGTAGGCAATACTAAATGTTCGACATCTTCTTGAGGCAACATCTCTGCAATACTTACGCAAGCTTCAGCGGCCAATAGGCGAACGGAATCCTGGTCATCTTGAGCCAATTGAACGAAATTTGGAATGAGGTCGGATTTCAAGTATTCGAGTTCAACCACCTTGGCAAATTCTCCCAATTTACTTGCAGCGGCACGGCGAACCATTGGTGTTTCATCCTGGCACAATTTCCTGAAATTAGCACGTAGCTCTGCCTTCACGGGCTGGGAAACACGAGGATAGCAAACGGAGAACAGACCACAAGCAGAAGTGCGTGAGGTGAACCAATCTCCGGAAACTAAACGTTGCAAAGTAGGCACAACATGAATTTCCAGATCTTGAGCACTATGCTCAGCAGCCACAATACGTAACGATTCGACAGCTTTGTCACGGACCACAGTCTCTTCGACGGTAGCTAAACTCTCCAATGGTGGAATCAAGTACATGGCATACTCGGGTCCTCCAACCAAACTAGTAAAATTGCCAAGTTGGTCAGCCAATGCCAAAAGAACTTCATCTTCATCGTAAATGGTTTCCGTCAAAAAGGGAATCAATTCAGATCGGGTACGTTCTTCGCCGAGGGCGAGTGCTATTGTTGACAGCTTTTTAATAGAATTTAAACGAAGCTGTACATCTTCGTTCTTTAGTTCGTCAATAAGAACCGCAATTGGATATAGGGAGTCGTCAACAGTTTTATCAGTCGACGCCATTGATACACTTTTCCAATCGTTTTTCGCAGATAGAAATACAGTTATTTTCAATCAATAAACCACCTTCGATATATATATGTGTAGATATTTAGCAAAACACGCAATATTAGTCAGTCAGCCAGTATGCTTCTTATGGAGAATTTACGAATGATGAGACCAGTCGCAATTCTTTCTTTGCACATAGAGCATTTTTGGATTAGGGTTGCGTAGGTTGACTATCGATAAATTGACTATCGATTATCGAAATGAGAGAAAATGCAACAGCATTCGTTTGGAAGACTTTTCATTAATTTTTAACGTTTTAGATATATGTTGAAAATAAATACAATCTGATGGAACTAGGCCTTCTATGCAGAACTGTTTTTTTGTACTCTCCATCATGAGGTGTATATAAAAATGATCTTTCCGATTTAAACAACTCGAACTATTCGTCGGAGACCCTATATCCAGGGTTGTCGAAGAACATACAACTTTTTTGGCAAAACATTTTTATTAAAGGTCCGTGTTTCGGCAGAGACCCAAAATACAGGACCCGCACAAATACAATAGCGTTGAAAATGGGAATTTTTCATTGCAAAGGAATTTGCTGTTTCACATTTTTCCATTAGGAAATCGAAGTAAATTGTAAACCAAAGGGCAACGAACTTAAGGGCTAAGCAGAATGCTCGCGTTGAGCCATCCGTCGCGTTATATGTTATCGAAAATACAACAACCACAAGGAAACGATAACACAAACGCTCGAAGTTGATGTGCGCTGCGCTTCGGAGTTAAATATATTTTAACTTTTTGCGTGCGTTAACGCGATAACAAAAAACGCTCAACGCGAACATTCTGCTTAGGCCTTTATGTTGCGATTACTTTAATTTGGAATTCTCATGCCAATTCATAGTTGAAAAATCGGCTCAGAAATCAATTAAATACTGATACGACGAGATGAGCCCATCCCGACATTGGCTATAGCAGCAGTAAAAAAAACAAAAACCTGTATTATAGAAAAAACTGTAAAATCAGTGTAAAAATTTTTCAATGAGCCCAAAACAAAGATATAGAAACCGTAAAAAATCGACAAAATGCATTTTGATAAAATAGTTTATAAAAAATATCCAGGGGAATCAGGTATAACAGAGGCATGTTAACAATAAAAATGCCACTACGCGATAATGTGTTTATAAAATGTAAAAAAAAAACAGAGATCTGCACTCAAAATATATTTCTTTTATCTAATAAGCTTGCTTAGAATGTTTAATATTGTTCGCTCTGTTGTTATGATATCGTAACAACAGAGGAAAAGCGATATATCATTTTACATAAATCAAAAATGTCATATCGAACTTGACACGAGTTTTACGATACAATGAAATCAGCAGAGTATTGCGGTTACCTTGTATAATTGTAGCATGGGGTTTTTATTTATTCTATTTATACCCTACACAACTATGTTGTCAGGGTATTATAGCTTTGTGCAGCCCCAAAAGTTTGTAACGCCGCGAAATATTGGTCCTAGACCCACCTTTAAGTATACCGATCGTCATATCTCGACTAGCTGAGTCGATCTAGACATGTGTGTCCGTCCGTCCGTCCGTCTGTCCATTATAATTTGTAAACACGATACAGGCCACAGTTATGAACCAATCTTCACGAAATTTTGCATGTAGGATGGGTTCTGGCCAATGAAGACCCCTATTGTTTTTGGGAAAGATCGGTTAATATTTAGGGGATGAAATGGACCAAATACTAAATTTTTTTCGGTTTTTCTGGTCGCTCCAGAGGCCGCAATAATAGCCCGAACATCGTGAAATTTTGCATGGAGAAGGGGATCGGGCCAAAGAATAAGCATGCCTGTTTTGATAAAGATAGGTCAATATTTAGCGGGTCAAATGGACCCTGACTTTTGTGTGAAAAATGACAAAATTTGTGTTCTATAGCGTATATATTTACTCCTGAAGGACATAGACCCGAGAAGTTGATATTTTATCATAGAGGAGTGGTTGACCTTTAAATTAATACCAATTATGTTGTTGTATGTTCCCGGATGTGGGAGTTACACCTAAATATTTACAGGTATCTCCGTATTCGTATATTATTTAATAACCCATTATCACTCTAGAGAGCGGAACTATAGCGCTTATCGCTTTGAAATGTTCCATGAGGTTCCAGTTATGGTCAAAGACAACGCCTATAATTTTCGGTGAATATCAGATAATAATTTTGGAGTGTAGTGGACCGAAAACTTACTTTTTTGTGTTATTTTCGAGTCGATCTATAGACCACAAATGAAAGCCGAACATCACAATACAACTCACGGTGAAAGAAAATCTGGACAATAGCTGTACTGAATACTCGTAATATTCGGAAAATATGTATGTGTGAGGAAGAGGTGCTGTTTATCTCTAATCGGGCAAGAGGGTGCAAATATCACTAAATATTGCCCAGGCTCGGAATAAAAATCCGCAGAAAATTTGAGTTCCGAGGTAGTTGTGTAGGGTATCGTATGGTCGGCCCCGTCCGACTATACTGCTCCGCTCACTGGTTTTAAAATATATATAACTCAGAAGTGCAACCCACATCAACTTCTAGCATTGGGGTTATCGGTCCCTTGTGGTTGTTGTATTTTCGATAACAAATAACGCGGCGGATCAAGGTAGATATACAAGTTACCCGCATAGGCGAATTTCTACAACAAACATCGGTTGTTGTATTTTGATATGTCAAAAATATTTTGCCAAAACAAAGAGATTCACAAAAATTTTTTTATACAAATTCTTGTAGAAACTGTTAATAAAAATATTGCCAAACAAGCTCTACAAAACTACGAGATTTTCATTTATAATTTTGTTTTTTAATTTTTTGGTTCAACATTACAACAACATTTTTGACATTTATTTGCACCAACAAAGGGCTAAGCAGAATGCTAGCGTTGAGCCATCCGTCGCGTTATATGTTATCGAAAATACAACAATCACAAGGAAACGATATGCGTTTGCCATTTTGCCATATATGTTACGTACATACTTAAGTTATATATAAAATAGATGGCGCTAGCTAACAAATTAAAAATAAACAACGTACGTTGCATTCCCCTAACTAAATATCTCACATACCGATTTTTCAAACCCCTCCACTCCACTCTCCACACATTTGTCGGTATGTTTGTTTTTTTTTTACGAATGCAATTTTCATTATCATTAAGAGAACGAATATCTATTCCTTGTTTTATTTAGATTTTCTTATCTACCCCAAAAACGTATGAACTTGTTTCTTCCCATACGGAATGACAACACGAACAACAAAAAAAAAACTTATCAGAATCTATTCCTCATTATAAATAAAAAAAGAATCAAGAAAACTTCAAGCATGCGAAGACGCGTAATTTATGTATGTCAAATGTGTATAAATAATAATGTGATCAGCAAACACTTATGTTTTGGGAGGGACACAACAAATTATTAATAAATAATAAAAACGAAATGGGGTGGTGGAGTAGTATATCGGATCGGATGTGGGGTAGGAAGTCGTCACCTCTTGTGTGTGTCTTTTTAGCGAATTTTTGTGTGTCGGGGTAGACATAGATAAGTAACCATCAGTAATAAATAGAAGACAAATTCTGAAGTGGTCTCCATGCATACATATCTCCTCCCCCTTTTTTCATTTTATAATTAATTGAATACCACCTGGATGTGGTTAACAAAATAATTAAATAAAAAAATTATATTCTAGCAGACATGATGACAAATGAAAGATATACCAGCAGTCTGGAATCAAGATTGAGTTTGTTTTTGTTTAATTAACCCAGTAAAAAATACAGTTACGTTAAAAATTATTGAAATTCATATTTAGTAAATATCACTTGGAAAAAAAGGTAGAACCTTGAAAATACCTAAACTATGTATTTCAAAAAAAAAAAAAAAAAAAAAAAATCAGTTGGAAAATGTGCCTCAGACCATTAATATCTATTTAAACGGACGGACTAATTTAAGAAGAATAGATCAAAACATGGAATATTCTGTAAAGAGGTATTTTATTCTTTGAAATCCCGATAATCCGCTTGGAGAAGAAGGCTAGAACCCTAAAAAATAACTAAAATTGGGCTGAATTCTTCTATATCCATCAATAACCCGGGATGCCAAATTAAGAGGACTTCGGATGAAAAAGACGACTAAAACTATAAAGTGGACAGATATGTCCCATTTTCAATACCATGCAGCCTAGGAGTATTAAAAATGTATGAGGAAAATGTCTTAAATCGATCTTAAGTATAGCGATCTCTTTCGTAATTTCAACATGCAGACTGAGATGGGTAAATCGCTATATATTTTTATTCCGATAACAAATATGGACCCATATTTTAGGGGGCCTCCATTCGTAAAATGAGACAATGCGATATGTGTTAATTACAGAGGAATTAATCTCCTTCCCATCGCATATAAAGTGTTGTCCAGCGTGATGTGTGAACGACTTAAGCCAATCGCTAATAACATTATTGAACCATACCAATGTGGCTTCAGACCCGTCAAATCCATCATAGACCAGATATTCACGCCAAATTCTGGGGAAGATCCACGAAAAACACATCAATCCGGCCTTTCCACTCAAATGTGTTGAAGTCATATTTGCGTTCAGCAATCCAGCATCAAGGCTCTTCAATACTGAACGAGGATTCAGGAAAGGATATAACCTAAGGTCTGACTTAACATCATGTAGGAAAAGATCATACGAGATGCAAAGATAAACAGTAATGGCGCCCGATGATATCGACATAATCAAACAAATTGAGAAGGAGTCTGCTAAAGTGGATCTGGCAGTAAATGGTGAGTGGACCAAGCTGATGCTATCAATTCGCAAGACATCTAGTAGACTCGGACTAACTTTGGATCTTTAAAACCAATGTTTTGAAGTAATAATAGATTTTATCTACCTCGGTACGGCCATAAATAAAGCAAAAATAACACCAGTTTTGAGACCTTTGGACAAATTGAGGAGTCTACCAAAGTGGGTCTGAT